AAGTGAACACAGGCCAAGTTAGAGGTTCCCCCCCCCACTCCCACCCCACACAGTTGGGAGTGAATTGGACATTTTAAGAACCAGATGGAAGTTAGTTTGTGACAGTTACAAGGGTCACATACATAGGAATGTAATACTTCGGTGAACGCAAAGACAGTGCTTCTGGAAGAGTATTTGCACGGGGTGTGAAAACAAAGGCATCTAAAGCCAAACCATACCCGGAGCCCGTCCATCATTCCCAGGACGCGCCGGGCCTGCCTGACCTCCAGGTGTCGGGCGGAACTGTTCTTAGGTGAAGACAGGCCTGCTGGGTGAGAACCCACTCAAGCCCAAGGGAGCGGCGGGGTGTGGGAACTGCCCCCGTCCGGGCATCTGGGTGGGGAGGTGCAGACAGGACGGCTGCGGGGACGTGCGCGCTCAGAGCGGCCCGGTGGCCTGGGAGGCGCAGCTGGAGACCGCGCAGGGCGGAGACGCGGGCAGGGATCACCGGAGGCAGAACCAGGAACCCAGCAACCCGTGGCCCTGCACACAGGGAGCCGCAGCGAGGGGGAGCGTTAACACCATTCAGAACGCGTGGCCCCAGCCTGTGTCCACTGCGGGAGGGGAGGGGAGCAGCTGCGGCGCTGGGGATCAAAGCCTCACAATGGCTGCACCCTGCCACAGCCGCCCCGCACGCCCCTCTCCCCGAGGGAACAGAAAAGAGCAAGCACTGCGAAGCATGTGTGGAGACTGGAATCTGGTACGTTGTTCGAAGGAATGTAAAATGGTGCAGCCAGTGGGTAAAACAATATGGAAGTGCCTCAAAAAATACTGAAAATACAATTGCCATCTGATCCAGCCTTTCTACTTATGGGCAGAGACCCAAAACAGCAGACTTCCAGAGATACCCGTATACTGATGTTCAGTCCATTGACAGGAGCAAACAACATATAGTATATAAATACCATAGACTGTTACTTAGCCCCACAGGACACAACCTGGATGCGTTTTTAAGGACAGTAAGCTTAGTGAAGTGAACCCATCTCAAAAAGACAAACCCTGGCCGGCCACTGGTGCTCATGCCTGTAATCCTGGCTCCTCAGGAGGCTGCATGTGAGGATCACAATTCAACGCCAGCTCGGGCAGGAGAGTCGGTGAGACTCATCTCCAGTTCCCCACCGACACTTGGGAAGTGGAGCTGTGATTCAAGCCTTGAGCAAAAACAAAAAAACCAACTCAGGGGCAGTACCCAGGCTCTAAGTCCAAACCCCAGGACCGCCTCACACAATTTAGGTTAAGATAGTCAATTCTATGTGTTTACTACAATCAGAAAAAAGATAAAAAGCCCGAAATGGGGGGGAGGGATGTATTCAGACTGCCAAGAGTGGAAGAGGAGAGCAGCCGTGGCCACTCTGGAGCAGGGGCTGGACACGAAGGACACAGCAGGCCGGGGGGCATCTGCACTGCGCCTCCCCACAGTGTACCCCAGGTATAGGCAGAGACTCAACTGACGTTTATGCGTGGGAAGCGGGTGCTGGTAGGCCCCGCGCAGACCGCCTGCGCTGACGGCGGTGAGGCCCAGCCCTGCAGAGCGGATGTGTTCACACGGCTGCTCAGGACCACACCGAGAGCCTGCGGCCCCCCGGCCTGCGGGATACCCACGGAGCTCTAACTGGGTCCTCGCCATCCATTTCCCTGAAAGAAGTGACTCTGGGGGTGAAGAGGGGGTGTAGCCGCCATGAAAACTCAGAATGAATTGAGCACATTTTAATCCATGCCAACAACTGCATTCCATACAGACACTGAACGGCTAAAACTCTCAACAGCGAGCGAGCGGTCCACTCCCCACCTTTTCTTAGAAAACTCTCAAGATATACTCCATCCCAGGGCACTTGAGGAGCGAGGGCCTGTAAATGCGATAGCAACGTAAAGTTGCCGTTGACAAGTGGTACTATGCATTGCTTGCTCTTCTAGATGTGAGTTTTATGGATTTCAGAAAATACTCTGAAGAAATTATACAAGCGGGGCGCCTGTGGCTCACATCTGTCATCCTAGCTACTCAGGAGGCTGAGATCTGAGGATCATGGTTCAAAGCCAGCCCGAGCAGGAAAGTCCATGAGACTCTGATCGCCAATAAACCACTAAAAACTGGAAGTGGCGCTGTGGCTCAAGTGGTAGAGCGCTTGCCTTGAGCTGAAGAGCTCAGGGACAGCGCCCAGGCCCAGAGTTCAGGCCCCATGAATGACCAAAAAAAAAAAAAAAAAAGAAATTATACAAACTGACAAAGTGCTGTAGGCAGAAAAATATCTTTTAAACATGTATTTGTATTTTTTATCACACTCACACATGTGCATACTTTTAAAAGTCTTTTTACTTTTAAACTTCATACTTTTACAACAAAGGTTGATGCTTCCCGAATCAACCTTACTGAATATTTAAAATTTTTATTTTAACAGGGCTAAACAGAACTAAAAAAAACAGAACCTCTGGAGACAGAAAAGCATTCAACAAAAATTGAACTGGTCATGATTAAAAACTCAGTGAACCGTAGCAAAGGAAACAATCAACACAGTGCATACAATGGAAGGAAATATTTGCAAACCTTCAGTGTGACAGGAGGTTAATATGTGAAATGAATAAGGAACTCACATTCAATAGCCAACACCGAACCGACCCGGTTTAAAACGGGCCAAGTATCTGCTCAGTCCCCGGCCCAGGCCAAGGGCCATGCTGTGCGGCCTGCCATCAGCTCAGGGAGAGAAAGGCTCACTCGGCTCCCAGAGGTGCGGCTCCCCCTGCGCATGCGCCTGGCCTGCTCGGGGGGGAGGACACGAGGTGGGGTGGGTGCTGGAGGTGGAAGCCATGCCTCTTATGGTCAGGAAGCAGAATGTGAGGACAAGAGGAGGCCTGCGCCCCACTACCCCCTCAAGGACACACCCAGTGACCTGAATACAGTGCACACACACATCATTCACAGTACATACATTCATTTACAATACATACCATTTTCATCTGAAAGCAGTCTCAAAGGGAGAGGAGGAGGCACGTCTAGCAATAGAAGCAACTTCCTCAATCTCGTTCTATCCACAAAGACGTCATCTCTGCGAGCATTTACTTAATGGTGCTGACTGAGTGCTTCCTCCCCAAGCCTGGACCGAGCCGGGATGCCCCCTGTGGGCATTGCTAGGCATCAGGTAGAGGATGGCTCGGCCAGTGGCTCTGGTGGGAGGGGGCGGGCTCCGCTGGCAGAGCTGGGAAGGAAGGAGCGTCAACCTTCCCTCACGGATATGGGGTCATCTATGCAGAGAAACCTTAAGGAGTTGACATTCAAGCAACAGAAAGGAGCTTAGTGAGATCACAAGATCCGAGTGACCTCTAAAATACTGACCTCATGTGTCTACACATTAGAGGAATCCATTAGATATTCAAATTTCAGAACTCCTTACAACAGCAAAAAAAAAAAAAAGATGACGTATTTGTGGACAGATTTAGCTAAGGACTTGCAAGACTTGCTGGGGCGGGGGGGGGGGGGGGGGGGGGGGGGGGAGGAAGGAGCGGGTAAAGCGCTCACAGCATGGAGACTCAACAGCCGGCAGCCTCGGCCCCAATTGATGGACAACTTCAGAGCAGCCCGATCTAAACAACAAACAGCTGGTCATCCCGACATTTACGTGGAAACACAAACAGCCTGGAAGAGCCCTAACAACTCTGGGCGGGAACAGTCCAGAACTTACGCTATGGATTTCAAAATTTACAACCAAGCAAACATAATCCAGACAGTGCTATTCAAGGGAGGCTAGAAATGAGTGCAGAAAAAAAAAACCAACAACAACAGAGACTTAGCCAGTGAGTTTGCAATAGACGAGCCAGGGTAATCAATACAACGAGGAAAACCGTCCAACTAAAGGTGCTGGATCAATTAATGCCCATGTGCCAAAAAAGAAAACCCAAATCCTTTAACTTTCACCATATATTTAAAATAAATGATGTCAGCCAGGTATGGTGGTAGATGCCTATAATCCCAGCTACTTGGGAGGTAGAGGTTGGAAGATCACAAGTCAGAGAATAATGCAGACAAAAGCACCAGACCTCGTCTGAAGAACAAACTAAAGCCAAGGGGCTTGGAGTACAGCTTAAGGTGGTGGAGAGGCTGCTCAGCAAGGCCAAGGCCAAGTTCAATCCCAGTACTATGCTCCCAACTGCCCCACAAAAACGCAAGAAGCAACCCCCCCCCCCAGACCTATGATCACACTCCCTAAATATGAGGATTATGAATACTGGATTGCTTTAATTGAGGGAAGAAAGGATTCTATGCAAAATGATAAAAACAATAAATAGTAAGATCATGTGTCTAAATATAGATGCTACAACTGCATAAAACTTCGAGAGGGAAACAAAATTATCTCTGCAATCTTGGAGCAGGCATCAGTTTATTAAACAGCAGTCAAAAAGTATGAAGTAGAAGAGAAAATATAGACTTCAAAAATTTAAACTCGGTCTATTCATCAAGACACTAAAAATATATTTAAAAAAAAATCACACTGGATGTAATGGCTCATGCCTCTAACAGCTACTCAGATCCTGGAGATTGGAAGGATCAAAGTTCAAAGCCAGCCCGGGTAAAAGTTTGCAAGACTCCATCTCAAATAACAAGCTGGGCATGGTGGCACATGCTTGCCATCCCAGCTATACAGGAAGAAGAAATGGAAAGATCACAGTCCACACCAGTCTGGGCAAAAAAAAATGAGACCTTATTCAAAAAGAAGGAAAGCAGCCAGGCCCCAGTGGCTCATCCCTGTAACCCTAGCTACTCAAGAGGCTGAGATCTGAGGACTGTAGTTCAGAGCCAGCTGGGTCAGGAAACGCTAATCCCCAATTAACCAGCAAAAAGCTGAAAGTGGAGGTATAGCTCAAATGGTAGAGCGTCAGCCTTGAACGGAAAAGACAAGTGAGAACAGAAGGCCCTGAGTTCAAGCCCCAGGATCCACACAAACCCTGCATATATATATCAAAGTACATACCAGTAGTGTCTCTCCTTGGGAAATGAAGAAGTGACCGGATATGACTATGGTGAGAACGAGGCACCCAGATTCTTCATTGGAATCAAAAACCTTGGAAGAGAGAGGAATAGGTTTAAAAGCAAAACAAAACAACAGCAAGCAAAACCAGTACATCTCTGTACTAGTGAAACATACAAGCCTAATAACCAACTGCTGGTTAGTGTTTCTATCTTGATCTTTCCTATTGAACCTGTAATCACTGCCTTACAGAGAAGTGTCTCCTCTTACACACATAGGAGCGATCAGCTAGGCTTTCAAAAAGCATAAATCTAACATTTTGAAACAAGATTCACAAACAAGAGAAGCCAGGCATGGTGGTGCATGTCTAATCCTCGCTAGTCAGGAGGCTGAGAACCTGAGGATCTCAGTTTGAAGTTATCCTGGTTAAAAATGAATAAAGTTCCCAAGCCCTCATGGGTCTCAACTAATAACTGGGTGTAGTAGCGCTTCTGTCATCCGAGCCTACATTGGAGGATTGTGGTCTAGGTGGGCCCGGGCAAAAAGTGAAGCCCTATTTGAGAAACAGTGGAAGCAAGCTCGGTGCTAGTGGCTCACATCTGCCCATAATCCTAGCTACTCAGGAGGCTGAAGTCTGAGGACTGGTTCAAAACTGGCAGAAAAGTCCATGTAAAGAGCTCTTATCTACAATTAACTACCAAAGAACCAGAAGTGGAAGTGTGGCTCAAGTGTGGAGCACCAGCCTTGAGGGAAAAGCTAAGGGACAGTGCCCAGGCTCTGAGTTCAAGCCAATAACATGCATGCGAGCGTGCACATGCGCATACACATACACAAAGTACCATCTTATGAAAAACTAGGACAAGCACCTGGCAAAATCCAGCCTTCATTCTTGACTGCAGAAGAGCTGTGGCATTCTATGGAGGCGGCCACGGTTAACGTGACCTCACACAGTGAAAGCTTTCTCCCTCCGTACAGAAGAAAAACAAGGTGTCCACTCTTGCCCCTTCTATTCAGTGTTGTTACTGGGGTTCTTAACCACTGCAATCAGACCAGAGATAAAAAGCACTCAAGACTGCAAAGGAAGAAGCAAAGCTGTCTTTAATCAGACATTATGATTATGTGGAAAAATCTAACTGATTTTTACTAGAACTAATACATTAATTTTAAGAAGCTTGCATAAGCAAGATTGATAAGGGAAAAGCAATTACATTTACATAGACTAGTAAAAAAACCTGGAACTTAATTTCTGAAACATCAAAATTTGGAGTACGTCAAAAACAGGAGCAACTTTGGGATACATCTAATGGAAGATTGGCACATTGAGATGTGAGAGGATCTAGGGACCAGCAGAGAGGTTCTGGGATGATCAAGGTGTCAGCAGGCAGAACAGCATCCTCCAGAGATGTCCACAGCCAACAGCTGGAGCACATGGATGCTCTTCCATGGCAAATGGCCTCTGCAGATGTGCTCAGGGATCTGGAGACGAGTCTGTCCTAGATCAGCTAAGTGGGCTCAGAAAATCCCAAGGTCCTTAGAAGAGGAGGAGGAAGTCAGGACAGGAACGTGGGCAGCCTACTGGCTGCAGACGCCGCTGCAGGACAGAGATTCTCCCCAGAGCCTATAGAAGGAACGCAGCCCCACCCGTACATAAAGGTTAGCCCCCCCCCCCCCTTCAGACCAGTGTGATGCCCAGACCTGCAAGCTAAGTGCGTGAGGCCGCCACGGTGGGTGTACCACATGTGGCGAACCAGACGCTAACTCTCCCCAATTCCATCGATGCAAACTGGTGACAACCACCCAAATGCCTCACTTCTTTTTTTTTTTTTTGGTGGAAATTCAGCTACTTCCAAGATTCCGATGGAAACGCAAGGGTGCAAAGCAGAGAGACCATGCGCGGGGCATGGAGGCAGCTAACGTTAACAAGGCGCCAGTGACACCCGGACCCTCTTACAAATAAGCTGGGCAAGAAAAATGTTTGCTGGGCAACCGCTGGCTGCCAAGGGCTACTCCGGGCGTTCCATTCCATCGCTGGACCCCCCACCCCTGCCTTCCAGGGCGAAGGTGGGCTGCAGAGGCACGGCCCAGGGCGGCGGGCGGGGCCGCGGGGGCGGGGCCGCAGTGGGCGGGGCCGCGGCGGGCGGGGCCGCGGTGGGCGGGGCCGCGGTGGGCGGGGCCGCGGCGGGCGGGGCCGCGGTGGGCGGGGCTGTGGCGGGCGGGGCCGCGGGGCGGGGCTGTGGCGGGCGGGGCTGTGGCGGGCGGGGCCGCGGCGGGCGGGGCCGCGGTGGGCGGGGCCGCGGCGGGCGGGGTCGCGGGGCGGGGCTGTGGCGGGCGGGGCCGCGGCGGGCGGGGCCGCGGGGGCGGGGCCGCAGTGGGCGGGGCCGCGGCGGGCGGGGCTGCGGTGGGTGGGGCCGCGGCGGGCGGGGCACCCCAGCAGCCACAGGGCCGCCCTGTCTCCAGGGAGACCCGCCAATAATCAGCCACTGCTACCTACCACGCATGTCAGCAATGACATGCACACAACATTTGTTGGTCCAAGTCCTAAATATAGTCTTTGAACAAAGGGGAGGAGGACCTGGTGGGCTGACCACTCACAGGGCTGGAATTACATATATAACTTGAGCCTGAGCTGCTTTTGCACAAGGCTAATCATTGATTATTAGCTAGGATTACAGGTATGAGCCACCAGCGCTTCCAAGTATAACTTCTTCAAAAAATTTAAGATCTTTAACAAGTATAGTTCATTGGACTTTAAAAAAATCGAGTTGTGAGCCGGGCGCTGGTGACTCACGCCTGTAATCCTAGCTACTCAGGAGGCTGAGATCTGAGGATCGCGGTTCAAAGCCAGCCCGGGCAAGAAAGACCGTGAGACTCCTATCTCCAATAAACCACCAGAAAACCGGAAGTGGTGCTGTGGCTCAAGTGGTAGAGCGCTCGCCTTGAGCAGAAGAGCTGAGGGACAGCGCCCAGGCCCAGAGTTCAAGCCCCACGACCGACAAAAAAAAAAAAATCAAGTTGTAAACGTTATTACAAATCAAAAGTGAAGCTCTTAATAATATCAACTTTCCCAGACCGGACACAATTTGAACACCTTGAAAGTTGTACTAAGGAAGATCAGGTGCGTCGGGAACTCCCGAGGGTTGATCCCGTCTCATTCAGTGTCTGTGGATGACACCAAGGCTCAGCGGTGAAGAGGGCCAGGAGTCAGAAGAACTCAAACGCACACTCACCAGGCTACTGCGTTGAAGGATGCATGTATGAAAACATCATAATGAAACCGTTGTTTTGTACAATATACACTTAAAAAAAAAAAAAGAACCAACCCACCCAGCCTGGGTTTAGAGGAACAAAACTGTTGAAGGAAATCAATAGTCTGAACCAAAATAATGATTATTTGTAATGACACTGAAGGAGGGCCTCAGAGCCAAAAGTGTGCTTTGTGAATGTAAAAATCCAACAGTTAGTTTAAAAACTATATGACCACAGCTGAGCCCAAAATGAACGGTTGGCGAGATCAAGCAGAGATATTTAGAACTGCAGAACAAGACTGCCGAGAAGAAATGCAATAGAAGACCTGTGGCAAAGATGCAGATACACAGGAGAACAAATGTTACAGACCCGCTAGAGTGGGGCGAAGAAAGGCTCTGGTTCAGCAAGTAACAGAAAACACCCCATAGCCACAGAAAGATGGAAAGGGGTCAGGTTCCAGCCATAATCAGGGTGGAGGAAAAGTCAACAACTAGGCATCGTGAATTCCAGACACAAGGTAGCCTGCCGGGAGTGCGGTCCAGTTCCTTTAACTCCTGGCCCTCCGCTGAACCTCGGGACCATCCATGGACAGGGAATGTGAGGACGGGGTCAGCCCTAGCAGAGAGTTCCCAATGAACTTCATCTTCCCAGTGATCTTGAAAGCTTCCAGTTAAAAACAGAAACAGGCCAGGCTCTCATGGCTCATGTCTGTAATCTAGCAACTCAGAAGGCCAAGATGTGATCACAGTTGGAAGCCAGCCTAGGCTCCCAAGCCCATGAGATTCATCTCCTATTAACCACCAAAAAGCTCAGAGACAGAACCCAGGCCCTGAGTTCAAGCCCCAGGACTGGCAAAATCCATCCATTCATCCATCCATCCACGCTGTCCGACTTCAATTCTTGAGGATTCTAGAGAACTTTTGTGGGGTGGTGTGAACTCCCAGCTCTCAGGGCCTCAAGTTTGCTAGCTGCTACTCTACCACCTGAGCAATGCCTCAAGCCCAACTTTTTGCTGGTTATTTTGGAAATAAGATCTTGAGAACTGTTCTTCCGAGGCTAACTTCAAACCCTCCAGATCTCAGCCATCAGTGCCCATCAGGTAAGTAATTTTGTAGAAGTGGTAAATGGAGAGAAGCATTTAGTCTACGGCCCCTACACCAATCCCACCACATGGTAACTAGAGTGGATGCAGGGAGCCCATCTTTACATAAGTAGTTGGGTACTGGGATAAGAAAAATGATAAAAGTACACTATCAGCCTTCTGTAATCCCCAGTTAATGCCTGTAGGCATTGTGACATCAAAAAGGGAAAAATAGATTATACCCAATAGGAACCAAACCACCTGGAGTAATCTCCTCTCAGGGAAATACGACTGAATTTGATCAACCTCTATTTATTCAACCATCAATTCACAAGAAAACAGCAGACGGAACAACAACAAAAATCACATGAACCTGCGGCACAGAGATGCAGCCAGCTGAACTTTCATGCCTTTTGGCTTTTCCCACAGAAATGCAGAGTGCTAGGAGCAATAATAAAAACAAGGCTAAGAGTGAAAAGCCACAGACCTTCCCCGCTCCTAAGAGCAAAGACACACATGGGAATTTTTTTCCCTTTAAAACCTACAAAAACAGACCTCTTGTACCAAAGCATGAGGTGTGATTCCTTCTTTCCCACAAGGCCCTACAAAGGAGCACTGACCCCGAGAGCACCCAGGTCTTCAAACCTAGCTCTTGGAGTTAACATGGAATACGATGTATGCAAAACATCTTTCATGCCCCCGAGGAGCAAGTTCTTTGTCTTTGAAATTATCAATCCAGGCACCTCTGAGGATGCTTCTCCTTGCA